TAATGATTAGATAGTACAGTTAGAATATCAATAAAGATACATGACTGGCAGTTGGATATGGAAAACATCATGTCAGAGAAGTAATTTCCTGAAGATAAACAAACATTTTAAAATAATCAAAAATGACCATCTGAAGAAGCTCATGAAGAGCTTCAGATACCTCCGGGCAAATTCCTGACCACAGTAAGCATTCTAATGTTCCACCTGAAGTTCCCACTGCCCTTTGCTTTACCTGGCAGCTTCCTGGGTCTCCCCAGAAAGGTATGCAGCCTGCCCTGTGGGCTGACCTGACAAGGTCTGGCAAACACACTCTCAAATGTCTCAAAGACATTCTTTGGGGATTTGTGCAAAGGAATTTGGCAGCAGTGTCTTCCTCATGAGGTGTGGCGTAAAAAACAAATGCCTCAGCCAGGGGCATGGGATTATTTGCAGTCTCTTGAGATCACTATTAAATTGTATTTATCCAGAAATCCATATTTGCATTAAAATGTCCATAGACTTGCTCTATTACTAATATCTTTAATATTAAATAACAAACATAGACACAAACTTATCCAGGCAAATGTTTCCCATACTGAACCTACAATGGAATTAACACAGGAGACTTGGCATACATAACTTGTGTAGGGATTCTGACCATGGAAATGTACAGGTAATCATTCCCCTGGGGAGCAAACTCCCGGGGGGTAACAGGCACTCTGTTTCCCAACCTTAGAATGCCCTACAATCTCTCCTAGGATCTAGTAAAATAACTAAATATATATGTGCAATGTCTAGCTGATACGGCAATGCCCTGCTTGAGAAGCCTCTGTGCTAGAGCCTCATTCAGCCTTGACCTTGATTGCTTCTGAGAGTAAAGGAACTTCTTGCTACATAACTACAATGTTTCATCAAGGCGCTGTGCTCCTGGATCTGCCTGCCTAACAGTAACTTCAGACAATGGACTTTCTTGAGAGTTCCATAAAGCTCCTGACATTGCATATTGTAACTATGGAATGTAATTACAGAATAAGCCACCTTCCTGATACTCTAAACAATAATGTAGTTATGGTACTAATGACCTAATTTAACCTATTGGTATAAATAAATGTGGCCGCTTGGACAAGGGGTCACTTTCCTGCCTCTGCACCTTGTCTCTGTCTCCTTATTATTTTCCTTACAATCTTATCTATTTCCCTCTTTTCTTTCTTGCTCCTTTCCATGGAGCACTAATGAAACACCTTCTGACACTCAGTGCACCTGGGGCCCCAAGAAGGACAACTCAAGTATCTCTTACATACCTGGAGTGATGACAGGCGTTGGACCTGAACAGCCCCTCCTTTTTCAGAACTACAGGGCACTGTGTGCAGAGACACACCATTGTCATTGTAATCATAACCTTACTTCCACTGGTCATGTCAATACTGGAAAGAGTCAAAGGCTAGAAAGCAATTTGGTTCCAGCCCCCACATTCTTAACAATACAGTTCCTACTATACCCAATCTGAGGTTACTGCCCTCCTATCTTTGACATGTGGTCTGCCTATTTTGTGTAGCCTCTGGTATTAGGTGATAAAAGTGCTACTGCTGTGTTAATTTCACTAGAGGAGAGGAGGAATCTCATGCTGAGTGAGTGAATCACAAGAGACTCCAGAAGTGAGCTGCACTGCCACCCTGGGTTAAGTAAGGGCTGAGTCTAGTTGACTCTCAATGGGAGTCAACTGTCATGGTCCTATGAATCACTTATGAACCTGGTATGACCCTCCCGAAAGCCAGAATTAAATAGGTGGAGCATTGAAGGATATATATATATATATTTTTTTTTTTTTTGGTTGTTGTTATTTTGTGTTTTTAATAAGGAAGACTCTCTGACTTGCCTCTGGGGAGGGGCAAATGAAATAATAGACCATTTCCTGGAAGCCAGAAAAACCAGCTGAAAAACAAAAAGGGTGCAGGAGAAGGAAGTCCTATAAAATATCTGTAGGTCATTAACTCTTTGGGGCTAGATTATTGTAACCTCACCAACAGAAATCTGCACTATCTGTAGTCATTCCTGTTTGGGTACAAAAATTATGAATGAATAGTGGTTGCAGCCTTCTTTCCTGGGCCACTCAAACACAAGCCAGCATTCGCACCTTTCTCTCTCAATATCACTCTAGTCCCCAGGTTGATTTTCAGGAAAGTGCTCAGAGCCAAAGATCAACTGCCCACCACAGGACTTGTCCAAGATCGGGGATAGGGAAATTGATGTGTCTTAAGAGCCCATTTGTGTCGTGCAGGTTTTCTCAGCACCATCCACCTTCCAAAGCAATTTGATTTGAAAGAGCTAAAAGATTAGGAACTGCATGCATTTCCCAGAATGCCTGCCAATCTGGGTTTGGATTAGAATCTGCTTGGGAGAGATACTCACCCAAGCGTTGGAGGGTTGGAGAGAAGCAGAAACCTTAATATTGCTCCTGAGCCACCAGCAGGCAAATCACATATTTTGGCAGATGGTGCATCTAAGATGTTTCCAGAAGCTTCCCAGTGTCCTCCTATGAATTATTACATTTCAGTTGTGAGCAGGCAGCTGAATCATTTTCATCCACTTCCTGTAATTCCTGAAATTCTTCATTTCCTAAAAGTCATCAGCCACTCTGCATGACCTGTATTCTCCCAGCCTCTCTGTTTCCTTGGCACAGGTCTTAATGACACCTATTGTGTATAAAGCATAACGTACATAAAAGAAATTGTAAAAGAACAATATAGACATTATTTTAATATTTTTAACTTTGTAAATAGTATAAAAACTTTCTATCCCAAATATTAGTTTCCAATTAATTCTTTTAAATTAATCAGCATATAATCTGAGCATCTAGTTCTAAAATGACTTTATTTCAATAATTTTAATAGCTATAAAATCTTTAAAAATGACATCTCACAAAACTATGGATTACAACTGAAGATGTACCTCATTAGTGACAAAGATTCTTTTATTGTTATAATTTGGATCTGGAGTGTCCCCCAAAGCCCCTGAGTTAAAGGCTCTGTCTCCAACTTTAGGCATTATTGGGAGGTGGTGGGACATTCAGTAGGTGGGGTCTATTAACGTTAGGCAGTATCTAAGATATTAGGTCAATGGGGGCAAGTCATATGGAAGAAAGAAGTCATACAAAACATCTGTAGGACATTAACTTTGGGACTAGATTATTGTAAACTCACCAACAGAAAGTTAGTCACTGGGGGCAAACCCTCGAAGGGTAAACTGGAACTCAAGCCCTTCTCTATTTTTGCTTCTCAGCTGCCATGAGGTAAATAGGTCTCTTCTACCTGCTCCTGCCATGATGTACTGTGCCACCAAGGGCCCAAAGCAACAGGGCCACATGACTATTGACTGAAACCTCTCAAACTGTGAGACAAAATGAACCTTTCCTCCTTTTACTTAATTACATCAAGCATTTTGTAATAGTGATAAAAAATTGACTAACACACTCCTTGATCAAACTCTAGTCAAGCTTTAGTCAGGTTCCTTGACCAAAATCTAGTACAGCTGCTCTGAATTTTCTTCTCAGCTAGACTTTTGTGCTTCTGTGCTCATTTCTGCTTCTTCCAATTATAACAAGAATCCTGCTAAGACAGTTTACCAGAATCATCCACCTTTAATGCCCTTAATGTCTGATAATTCTCCCTATCTGATAAAGACTTACTCTTTACCATCCTCTGAGACAGATCTGATCATGGCTCACCTTTGGCAAGTCTGAATTCTCTGCACCCTGGATATTTCATCTTAGTAATTTTTCCTCTATGACCTCCTCCATCTTGTTATTTAGCTATAAATTCCCACTTTTCCTTCTTTTATTTGGTGTTGAACCTGATCTCTCTTTCTCTCTCCTACTACAAAATTCCATTGTGGTAGTCCCTGCTTGAATAAAGTATTCCTTATTATAAAGTATTCCTTATTATGAATAATTTTTTCTTAATATTTGCTATGCTTACTGAACTGTGATATGTAAGAAAATTCCCCAAATTTGTGAATGTATTACCCCCTATTTTTTAAAAAAATGAATTCTGTAAATGTAATTAAGGATCTTGAGATGGGGAGGTTATCCAGTGGTTCTTATGAGAGGAAGGGAAAAGGATCATAGTGAGAGAACAGAAAATGATATTGGAAGCAGAAGTTGGAGGGTTAAAAGCTGAAAGTTAGTGAAAAGTGAGGATTCTGCTGCTGACTCTCTACTGTCAACACCTGGCACACCATATGGGCCACAGAAACATCCAAGGTTGCACATTATCAAACAAGGACACCAAGGTTTTTAAGTGCATACACACACACACACACAGAGCAACATCCAAAAAATTAATTGCATCTTTCCATATAAGCCAAAACAGAAAATGAAATAAAAATATTGCTTGCAATGCATCAAAACTATAAACATCAAGACATTCAAGAACTGTCAAGAAAATTATTTCATAAGTTTAAAAAGCACTAAATCTATGGCATAACATAAAATGTTGTATGGATTGAGAAAAATCAATACTGTAATATAATTTTGTGGTGGAGACTACCAGAGTCCACCATGATCTATTTTCCTTTTCTTCTGTTATAAAGTTGTGATTGGGCACATGACTGCCCAGCTAGAACTACATTTACCAGGCCCTTTTAGCTGGGTGTGCCCATGTAATTAGCTTTCATCCCATGGGAGGTAAACTGAGACAATGCCACCTTAGTCTATCAGCCTCTTTCTGCTTTCCATTGACTGGAGCCAAGGAACTGCAACAGGACCACAAAGGAAATTTCTGGTTTATTGGAGGCTTTCTCCTGTGATGTATGTGATCCAAATGGTGATTATAGTGTATATGCATATAAAATTTGAGCTGTACAATTAAAATCTGAACATTTTCTTGTGTTTATTGTATTTTACCTCAATTAAAGCAATTTATTTTTACAAAAAACAAGTAACCTGATTGCAGAAGGCTGAGTTTGGCAAGAACAGGGTGGTGCAGAGTTTTAAGCAAGAGACAGCATTAGCCTGAAGGAGAGTGATGGCTGAGGAGATAGTCTGTGAAAGTACTGGAAAAGATATTAAAGGAGGTAAAATCCACAGGAACTGGTGGATTGGGTGGTGATAAAGTTGGATAAGAGAGATAAGAGAGACAGAACTATTAAGAAAGAGTCCAGGTGTTCTAAGTTGATATAAACAAGCTGAAAGAAGTAGTGAGCCCAGCAAGTATGAGTCTGGACTGGGGTGAGAAACTTTGACTGCTTTACACACTTGTTTGGTAAATAAATCTGCGTGTCCCAAGCTAGAAGTTCTAAGAAGCCACACCTTCACATCCACCCGCACTAACCTGTGTGGGACCCAGGCTCACAGTAGGCCTGGATCCATCCCACCACCAGCTAGAGCCCAGGCTCTGGTACAGGACCTCCTCTTCCAACCAGAAGACCACCACGGGAGCTCAGGCCCAGCAGAGATCTGCTCACACTGACGTATGTGGGTCCCAGGCCCAGGGTAGGTCCAAGTTCACCCCCCTCCCACACCTGGGAGCACAAGCCTAACCCACTTCCATCTTGGGACACTGCAGTCACCACCATAGCCTTCTCCTCGAAGTAGCCCCTGCCTTGTTGACAATAGACAGGGCCTAGAAGCAGCCGCATTTCAGAGGAGCCAGCCCAAAGACAGTGTAAGGCCCACCCTTTCAGCCCCATCTCAGTAAGACATTGCATCCATCTTGGGGCACCTCCAATATTATCTCAAGTTACCTCGGTTATTGCCACCTCCACCTTTACTTGCAATAGCATAGATTGAAGGACACCAGCAGGGTCTGGAAGCCCCAAATCAAGGTGAGGTACAGACAATCTGCCCTGGTACTATATAGGGTAGAAACTGTAATATCTCAGATCCACACTGCAAGAAAGGAAGACACACAGACAAAGTGAAAAAACAAGGGAGGAAAGTGCCCCAAACAAACCAGAACACTATAATAACAAATCCCATGGACAGCAAAGTTGATGAAATGTCAGAGGAGGAGTTCAGAAGGTTCATGATTAAAATGATCTGTGAATTAAAGAATGACCTAAATGAGCAAATACAGGCAAAAATTGATCACTCTAACAATGAGATAAGAGAGCAAATACAGGTAGCAAAAAATTACTTCAAGAGAGAGAGATAGAGACTCTGAAAAAAAAAGTCAGAAATCCTCGAAATGAAGGAAACAGTAAGCCAAATAAAAAACTCAATAGAATGCATAACCAACAGACTAGATCACTTGGAAGAAAGAATATCAGATAATGAAGACAAAGTATACAATCTGGGTAATAAAGTTGACTACATAGTGAAGATAGTAAGAAACCATGAACAGAACATCCAAGAATTATGGGAGAGCATCAAAAGACCAAATCTAACAGTTATTGGGATAGAAGAAGGCACAGAGTTTCTTTTTTTTTATTGGTTGTTCAAAACATTACAAAACTCTTGACATATCATATTTCATACATTAGATTCAAGTGGGTTATGAACTTCCATTTTTAAGGCACAGAGTTTCAAACCAAAGGAATGAATATACAATCTCTTCAATGAGATAATATCAATGAAAATTTCCCAAACATGAAGAATGAATTGGAAAACCAAATTCAAGAGGACACCAAATGTACAAAATTATAACAGATGTACACCAAGGCACATTATAATGAAAATGCCTAGCATACAGAATAAGGATAGAATCTTAAAATCCACAAGAGAGAGGAATCAGATCACATATAGGGGGAGACCAATTCGTATCTCAGCAGATTTTTCAACCCAGACCCTCAAAGACAGGAGATTACGGAATAACATATACCAAGCTCTGAAAGAAAATAGATGCCAATCAATCTTATAGCCAGCAAAATTAAACTTTAGATTTGATGATGAAATAAAAGCCTTCCATGATAAACAAAAGTTAAAAGAATTTAAAACTAGAAAGCCTGCTCTACAGAAATGAAAAACAATGATGAAAATCAGCAGGTGGAGGTATTACACTAAAGGAAAATCTATTCAGAGGAGAAACCAAGTCAAGTTAAATACCAAAAATAAACAAAAATGGCTGGGAATACAAATCATGTCTTGGGCGCCTCTGCTGGAGCGAGTGCCCAGGGCGGAGGCGGAAGCAAAGGCGGAGGCGCTCTGAAAGGACTCTGAAAAGGAATCCTGCCCAAGCAGTGATGAAGAGGAGGAGGAGGATTCTGAATATGATGAAGATGGAGATAATTATATTATTGATGACTTTGTAGTACAAGATGAGGAGGGTGATGAAGAGAATAAAAATCAACAAGAAAAAAAATTGACTACCTCTCAATTGAAATTAGTAAAACAGAATTCTCTTTATTCTTTTAGTGACCACTATACTCACTTTGAAAGAGTTGTGAAGGCCCTTCTGATCAATGCTTTAGATGAATCTTTTCTGGGATCATTGTATGATGGCACCAGGCAAAAATTGTATGCCCAAGATATGTTGACATCTCTTCATTATTTGGATAATCGCTTTGTTCAGCCCAGTCTAGAGAGTTTAGCTTCTAGAAGTCGTTGGAAAGATCAATATAAGGAGCAGGTAGAAAATTATTCTAATGTGAGTATCCATTGGAAGAATCCTGAAAACTGTTCCTGTCAGGCTTGTGGATTGCATCGCCACTGCAGATATTCAGTGCATTTATCAGGAAAGTTGTATAATACCAGGACTATGGAAACAGATGATTTTATGTCACATGATAAACGGGTGTTTACTGTTGGCAGAATATGTGCTGATCGTACCAGAATTTATCATAAACTGAAACATTTTAAGTTCAAACTCTACCAGGAATGTTGCTCTCTTGCAAAGACAGAAGAAGTTGAGGATGAACAGGTTAAAGAAAGTGTGGAAAGAATTTTCAGTCAGTCAACAGAAAATGGCTGGATTAAAGAGAAATATGGTCAACTTGAAGAATATCTCAATTTTGTGGATTACTTTCAAGATGAGAAGTTTGACTGAATTGTAATACATTTCCTTCAGAAAAGATTTTATAAATTCCTGTAAATGTGAAGATCATGAACCTTGTTTCGCTGTACTATGTGGCATTTTATATGTTTTTTGTGTATCTTCAAGCAAAATATCTTGTTTAAAACATGTTCATTTAATTTCCCATGAAATGGCACTCTATATCTGATAAAACTTTTAACTGCTGTACATGGAAAACAAGCTTAATAATTATTAAGCCCATAAATGTATTTTAAAGTTATCTAACAATGCCTTTATTACAGATGACTATCAAGTGAATGAGCTAATCATGTTCTGTCAGTTTAGTAGAAATATATTGTATTTTAAAATATTTAGCCTAACATCTATATATATTTAATGTTGAATCTCTGTTTGGGTCTATTTGTTATCCTTTTACAGTATTAAATGGTTTTCTTCATTAATATATTTTTTTATTACTATCATCTAAAGTGCCATAGAAGAAACCTCAATGTATCATTCAGTAAAGTCCCCTTGCTTCATAATCAGACTGTAGTTTTTCTGTTCCAAATAGAGGAGTGCTTTATGCTCTTTCTAAAGTTTTCCTTAAAAATGAATTTCGGGCCTCTGAGAGTCTTTCAAACCTCACATTCAAGAAACATTTCATGATCTGTGTTTTCATACTTTCTGTTATTTCTTTTTTCTATTCAGTTTTGTGTAGATGTTAATGATTAATATACATTTTATTTTTACCCATAACTTTCCCAATATATGCGTATATGTTAGGGTCTGAAGATTCCAGAGACAAGTTCAGCAAAAAACACTTTAAAAGTATATTTTGGTATCTGCATTACTTTGCACATCTTCATTTTCCCAGAGTATAATAAACAGTTGCAGAGTGAACAAATGGACCCTGTCTATTCCATCTTTAATTCTCAATAATGGCATTCTAAAAGGATCTCTTCTACTGTGGAATTTTAGATTCTTTTTCATACTGGAAGTCTTAATTGAACCTCGCTTCATCTATTAATGAGATTCACAGCATAGACCTCAATGTATGTATATACATAATAAATATCTACATTTTGTTAAATCCTTAAAAAAAATCATGTCTCAATAATAACCCTGAATGTTAATGGCCTAAACTCACCAATCAAAAGACATAGACTGGCAGATTGGATAAAAAAAAAAGACCCAACAATATGCTGCCTCCAAGAGACTCATCTTATAAGAAAAGACATCCACAGACTGAAGGTGAAAGGTTGGGAAAAATCATACCACTCACATGAACTGTGGAACCAAGCAGGGGTTTCCATCCTCATATCAAATAAAGTAGACTTCAAATTAAAGTCAATCAAAAAGATAAAGAAGGACATTACATAGTGCTCAAGGGAACCATACACCAACAAGACTTAACAACCATAAATATATATGCCCCAAACAATGGAGCATCTATGTTCATCAAACAAACTCTTTTCAAGTTCAAGAGTCAAATAGACCACAACACAATAATTTTGGGTGACTTTAACACACCTCTTTCACCACAACACAATAATTTTGGGTGACTTTAACACACCTCTTTCACCACTGGATAGATCTTCCAAACAAAAGCTGAACAAAGAAACTATAGAACTCAATAATACAATCAATAACTTAGACTTAACTGACATGTATAGACTATTTCATCCTTCAATGAGTGAATACACTTTCTTCTCAGCAGAACATGGATCCTTCTCTAAAATAGACCATATATTATGCCACAAACAACTCCTAGCAAATATAAAAAAGTAGAGATACTACCCTGCATTCTATCAGATCCTAATGGAATGAAATTAGAAACCAATGGTAAAATAAGAAATAAAATCCACTCCAACACCTGGAGACTAAATAATATGCTACTGAATGAACAATGGGTTGCAGAAGACATAAGGAGGAGATTAAAAAAATTTTAGAGGTGAATGAGAACACAAATACAACATATCAGAATCTCTGGGACACTATGAAGGCAGTTGTAAGAGGAAAGCTCATTGCATGGAGTTCATTCCTTAAAAGAAGAAAAAGTCAACAACATTACTAAAGAATAAATGACTTAATATTACAACTCAAAGCCCTGGAAAAAGAAGAACAAATCTACACCAAAATCAGTATGAGACAGGAAATAATTAAAATCGAGTTGAAATCAATGAAACTGAAACAAAAGAAACAATTGAAGAAATTGACAAAACAAAAAGTTGGTTCTTTGAAAAAATAAATAATATTGACAGACCCTTAGCCATGCTGATGAAGAGAAGGAGAAAAAAAAACAAATCACTAACATAAATGATGAAAAAGGAAATATCACAACAACACTACAGAAATACAGAAGATAATTAGAAATTATTTTGAAAACTTGTACTCCAATCAAATAGAAAATATCAAAGGCATCGATAAATTTCTAGAGTCATATGATTTGCCCAAATTGAATCAGGATGATATGCAGAATTTAAACAGATCAATTTCAAGCAACAAAAATAGAAGACACCATCAGAAGCCTACCATCCAAGAAAAGCCCAGGACCAGATGGATACACAGGCAAGTTCTACAAGACATTTAAAGAAGAACTAATACCAATACTCTTCAATTTATTTTAGGAAATAGAAAAAGAGGGAGCACTTCCAAACTCATTCTATGAGGCCAATATCACCTCGATTCCAAAACCAGGCAAAGACACAGGAAAAAAAGAAAACTTCACACCAATATCTCCAATGCACATGGATGCAAAAATTCTCAATAAAATTCTAGCAAATCGAATACAAAAACATATCAAAAAGATAGTACACCACTATCAAGTGGGGTTCATTCCAGGGATGCATGGTTGGTTCAACATACAGAAATCAATAAATGTAATTCATCACATCAATAGACTTAAAGATAAGAACCATATGATCATCTCAATAGATGCAGAAAAAGCTTTCAACAAAATATAGAATCCCTTTATGTTCAAAACCCTAGAAAAATTAGGGATAACAGATATATATATATATATATATATATATATATATATATATATATATATATATCAACATTGTAAAAACCATCTATGCTAAGCCCCAGGCCAACATCATTCTAAATGGAGAAAAATTGAAGGCATTTTCTCGTAGAACTGGAACAAGACAGGGATGCCCTCTTTCACCACTTCTATTCATCATAGTTCTTGAAATACTAACCAGAACAATTAGACAAAAGAAATTAAAGGGATACAAAAAGGTAAAGAAGAACTCAAATTAGCACTATTTGCTGACGATATGCTTCTATACCTGGAAGACCAAAAAAATTCCACCAAAAAACTTCTAGTAAATGAATTCAGCAAAGTAGCAGGATACAAAATTAACACCCATAAATTTCTGTATATCAGTGGCAAACCCTCTGAAAAGGGAATGAGGAAAACTATCCCATTTACAATAGCATTAAAAAAATGCTTGGGAATCAACTTAATAAAAGAGGTGAAAGACCTCTACAATGAAAAATACAGAACAATAAAGAAAAAAAAAAGAAGACTTTAGAAGATGGAAAGATCTACCTTGTTCTTGGATAGGCAGAATTAATATTGTCAAAATTATCATACTACCAAAAACATTATACAGATTTAGTGCAATTCCAATCAAAATCACAATGACATTCCTCATAGAAATAGAAAAAGCAGTCATGAAATTCATCTGGAAAAATAAGAAATCCAGAATAGCTAAAGCAATCCTTAGCAAGAAGAGTGAAGCAGGTGGCATCACTATACCAGATCTTAAACTATACTACAGAACAGTAACAAAAACAGCATGGTATTGGCACCAAAATAGATAGATTATTACTAAAGAATAGAGGACACAGAGACTAACCCACATAATTACAGTTATCTTATATTTGACAAAGGCGCCAAAAACATACTTTGGAGAAAAGATAGCTTCTTCAACAAATGGTGCTGGGAAAATTGGAAATCCATATGCAACAAAACGAAATTAAACCCCTATCTCTCACCGTGCACAAAACTCAACTCAAAGTGGATCAAGGACCTAGGAATTAAACCAGAGACACTGTGTCTATTAGAAGAAAAAGTTGGCCCAAATCTCTATCATGTTGGATTAGTCTTATTAACTTCCTTAATAAGACTCCTATAGCATAAAAACTAATATCAAGAATCAATAAATGGGATGGAGTCAAACTAAAAAGTTTCTTCTCAGCAAAAGAAACAATCATTGAGGTGAATAGAGAGCTTACTAATTGAGAACAAATTTTGACCACATACACATCAGATAGAGCACTAATCTGTAGCATATATAAAGAACTCAACAATCTTAACACCAAAAAAATACAAATAACCCAGTCAATAAATGGGCCAAGGAACTGAAAAGACACTTCTCAGAAGAAGATATACAATCAGTCAACAAATATATGAAAAATGTTTAACATCTCTAGCAATTAGAGAAATGCAAATCAAAACTACTCTAAGATATCATCTCACTCCAGTCAGAATGGCAGCTATTATGAAGACAAACAATAGTAAGTGTTGTCGAGGATGTAGAGAAAAAGGCACACTCATACATTGCTGGTGGGACTGCAAATTGTAGCAGCCAATATGGAAGGCAGTATGGAGAATTCTTGGAAAACTGGGAATGGAACCACCATTTGACCCAGCTATCCCACTCCTCAGTCTATACCCAAAGGACTTAAAAACAGCATACTAGGGGCTGGGGATGTGATTCAAGTGGTAGCTCTCTTGCCTGGCATGTGCGAGGTACTGGGTTCGATTCTCAGCACCACATAAAAATAAAATAAAGATATTGTGTCCAACAAAACTAAAAAATAAATATTAAAAAACCCCAGCATACTACAGGGACACAGCCACATCAATGTTTATAGCAGCATAATTCACAATAGCTAAACTGTGGAACCAACATAGATGCCCTTCAGTAGATGAATGGATAAAGAAAATGTGGTATATATACACAATGGAATATTATTCAACATTAAAAGAGAATAAAATCATGGAATTTGCAGGTAAATGGATGGAGCTGGAGAATATAATGCTAAGTGAAATTAGCTAATCCCCCCCCCAAAAAAAAAACCCTGAATGATTTCTCTGATTTAAGGATGCTGGTCCATAATATGCTGGGGGTGGGGGGATGGGAAGATTAAATGAACTCTGGATAAGGCAGAGGGAAGAAGTGGAGGGAGTGGAAGAGAGGGGTTATAGGGGTAAGAAAGACGGTGGAATGCAATGGTCATCATTACCCTAAGTACATGTATGAAGACATGAAGGATGTGACTCTACTTTGGGTACAACCAGAGATATGAAAAATTGTATTCTATATGTGTAATATGAATTGTAATGCATCCTGTTGTCATATATAGCAGATTAAATTTTTTATAAAAGAAT